ACATGTTTCTGAGATTTCTAAACGTGTTTGGAACGAGGCAGACGGATCCTCGGAAAACGTCTGTATCTCCGGAACCAAAGGAGATGGAGAACGTAGTTTTATAGAGAAATGTTTTGGCTATCGAATACTCAAAGTCAACCTTTTTAATATCATACGAAAACCTTCATTGTAATGAACAACTTCATATATATGGTGCTCGACAACTTCGAAAGTGGGTAATGAAAAAGGTCAAACAAATATATTTGATACAAAAATGACCAAAGTTGCGAGGCAGTTTTCCGATGTCTTGTGTTCTATGATTTTTGTAGCCTTCGGGAAACAGTTCCAATCAAACACTTTTATATATTTTTGTACTAGACACTTTGCTTTTTCTAACAAAAGAAGCATAAAGTCTCTACGATATTCCATCGTAACGCTGTATCAAAAACCAAATTAATCCAGAACTTTTGCCCCACCCGTTATTTGTCGAAGTTAACCGCGAGATTTCGTCTGTATATAAACTTACTCTCACTTCTGCGACGGGAAAATACCTCAATTCTATCAAAACAAACGTCATTGCTTCTTAACTGAACTGCGGCTTACCCCATTGAAGTCGTCGATTTGTTTCACGAAAGAAACGCTCTCGACCTTCACGACGGAAATTGGACCTGTTTCTTGCTACGGTGCTTGTACATATATCTAATTGGTACATTGTTATAATATGATTTAGTTGATTAGACGGAAATACTTCATTAACTTTTTGTTTTGTACCATACATACCATAAGTGTTTGTACCATACTAGTGAAATACATTATATACAAACTACGATTATGTTCTGCACCATGTTTTTCCATGGGATCAACCAAGATGATTATTTGCTTGTTGTCATATGACGGTGTTTCAGTCACTAAAGCAGCACTTGCCAAAGGCTTCATTTCCCATCTGGTTTGCCTTTTCTTATTGGATTTTTTTCTAAGGGTTTTATTATTGAGAATATTTTAAAAAGCAATATTTTTATATTTGAGTATTTTTTTTATTAATAGTTTTAAGTTTAAGAGTTTATTATTCTTTAAAATTATTGTTTTTATATTCTATTAATGAATATTCTTATTTTAATTTAAATATTTATTTTTTGACTTTAATTTTAAGAGTTTTAATTATAGTTTTTTTTATTAATTATCATATTAGGTATCTTTTATCTTTAAGTTATGAGTTATTTTCTTTTAAGTTTTTGGTTTATTTTTTAATTTTTTTAATAATTTTATTGTTTTTTATTAAAGTTTTTAAATTGGTTTGATTTGTTTATAATTTAAATTTTTTAGCCATGAGCTGACTCTCTCATTTGTTGCCGTTGTCATCTGTCTTTTGTTGGTGCACAAGTTACTCATTGCTTTTTAATAAAAATTTTTGTTCTCAACACCTAAATACTAAGTATTTTCTTATCATGTTAAATGCAAGAAAATTAGGACAAAGAGTGTGTTAAGCATTGCGCGAAACGTAAAAGAAACTGATTCTACAATACCCCGTTTCTGTCCATGTTTTACTGAACCTCGATTACAGTCCTTGATGGAAGTTCTAGTTTTGCTAGATGTAGCGAGTAGACGACACTTAGTGATTTATACACGACACAGTGGCTTATTTACGTATTTCTGCTTGTCATTTACGAGAGCAAGTACTTGACCAACTTTGAATAAACAGTTATTTATTTATTTAGTTTTTGAAGAGATTTAAAGTGAAAGTGAAAGACGATGAACTCTAGTTGACCTTCATCTTTCACTGAAAAGAAAGAATGTCTGAGGGGAATTCCATGAAGTAGATCAAATGTTAGAAAGAGCAACGTGGAATTCCGCTCAGACATTCTTTCTTTTCAGTGAAAGATGAAGATCAACTGGAGTTTTTCGAGCCATTAACTATTAACTCGCCTATTAACTCCATGCTTTGCAATGGTATTTCGTCATTTACAATCATCAAATGGATATTCGAATTCAGTCCATATTGCAAGTGTTCTATTGTCGTTGGCTTGCTGTCTCAGTTTGTCATCTTTCACGCGCTCGGATCTAGCTGTGTTACAGATATACAAGAAACAAGACTCTATTCGAATTTGCTCTAAGTTTTTTTTCAAACATCAAAACATAGTCTAGATCAGGAACATATGACTTGTTTTTTAATAGTGCAACTGAGATCTGAAAATTTGTTCCATACGATTTCCAGTTGGGTCAATGGCTAGATACAAATCTACAATGTATGGCGGATAATTTTTGCATTAAAAATGGCGTGTGATACAGTAATAAATGCACTATCGACGAACCTCATGATGGATACCTTTGTCCAGGCTATATGCATTCATTCTCAACAAGATGACCGAAATAAACATTGCAAAAGAATAACTCACCTTCTATTTTTTGTTTCCGTACAAATTCATTCATCTGTTACAAATTTAACATTTATCACGTTGCTCTTTCTAACATTTGATCTACTTTATGGAATTCCCCTCAGACATTCTTTCTTTTCAGTGAAAGATGAAGGTCAACTAGAGTTCATCGTCTTTCACTTTCACTTTAAATCTCTTCAAAAACTAAATAAATAAATAACTGTTTATTCAAAGTTGGTCAAGTACTTGCTCTCGTAAATGACAAGCAGAAATACGTAAATAAGCCACTGTGTCGTGTATAAATCACTAAGTGTCGTCTACTCGCTACATCTAGCAAAACTAGAACTTCCATCAAGGACTGTAATCGAGGTTCAGTAAAACATGGACAGAAACAGGGTATTGGACAAGATGGATGCCAAGTATTACATTTTCTTTTCTTATTCGTTCTGTTGATTCTCAATTCATTTCGTGTAGATTCCGTAATACAGGGCAAAGACACGCATATTCATTCAGATAAATCAATGCTGTATTTATTGTTTGTTGATTAAAGGTCGATTCATTCAATGCTGCAACGTTAAGAATGATGGTCTTCTATACCTGACAATATTCACATAGAATAATTAATTGGTTTCTTTCATATTTTAGTACCATCACTGTCAATTTTGAACGTTTATAAAGCGATATTAGCGATATTACCACGAGATATTCTGAAGAAACAAAGTATTACTTTATATTGAAAATAATTTTATATTTAGTTTTGTTTCAGTACAAGATGAAACAAATAATTGAACTGATAAGATAACTAATGTTGAAAAAGAATCAGAGGATGTTTTAAGACGTAAGTATTATTACTCGTTTTAAACATCAAGCATGTGTTTGTTACAGCAACCTCCATCGACAATATTGAACAATCAGAGAATTTAACTACTGATCAAGAAATTTGGTATCCGAAATTATCAAAATCTGAACAAAATGCATACAACAAACGTGTTAGTCGTCTTCGAGTAGTTGTAAAACCGAAGACTAAATCAACACATCACGTCTCGATTGGTGAGATCCATGTTCTCATCCGTAATACTCATACAATTAGACGTCGAATGTTGTCTCAAAACCAAGATGTTGATTTTACGATGAAAGTATTACAATATCAAGATTTTTCATGAAGAAGCGGTAAGAAAGCTATTTTACATTCAACTTCTTATTTTAGATCAGAAAATTATTTTCCTTTATCCGTTTTTTTCTTCGTCATTGTAATTTTTATTTTTTGATTATTTTAATCGTTAAGAACATTTTCACCTGATTGCGGTTTATGCAATTATCGTTGCATTTCTGTTGTAGCTTGTTTGTGAATATTCTTTATTCAAAAATCAACTATGTTCTTTTGAAGAACTTCAGGATAAAGTACGTGCGTTATTGAATGATATTGTTGGAAAATATTCAGTTCAGCATCGAGGTCAGGTAAGTAGATTTGTTCTGTCTACTGTTTCTTTTTTATTGATTCATTTCTCTATGTAGATGAGTGAGACTGATTTTATGGCAATAAAACTTTTCTGTGACAATTTTGGTGAACAAAATATTTTTTTTAAGGTAAAAGGTTCTTCTTTCTTTATGTACGAAGTTCTTTTATTGATTAAGAATGGCTTAATTGATCCTCATCCAATCCTGAGTATTTTAATTATGCCATCAGCAACTAAAGAATTGGAAAAAGCTTTTATGCTCATTAGAAATTTACCCTATAAAATGCTTGTGTTCGTTGGAAGTGAGGATCTTCATAAAATATTAGCACTTGTTCTAATTACATATGTTAATCTGAACAATTCGGTCGGCCACAGATTACTTCAAATTCTATTTGCAAATGTAAACAAAAATCAAACAACAAGATAGTATAATTCTCGTTGTATACAAGTATCATTTTAAACCATTTAGCAACTCGTGATTTTTAAGAACTTGTACGTGTTTGTTTTTGATTAGTCTCTCAATCTAGTGTTGAAAAAGTTGTGAAATAGGTTTTATGGATGCATAAGCAAAATTAGATATGATTTCTATCTCATAATTATATTGTATTTTTGTAATTTTTGTTTATCATTAAACTGTGTTTTATAATACTTTTCCCATTATTATATTCTATCTTGTAATTTTTTTCTAGATAACGCTACAACTGCAAATAGCGACCTGATCCACTGGTAAACTGAAATATTAATTTTTCCCCAAAACTTTGTAAATAACTAAAGTGTAAAAGAAATATAATTTGTTTTGAGTTAAGCAGAGAGATTTTCGGGAGTGGAAAGATTAAGGTAGACCTTAGATGCCTATTGACTTTTTAACATCAGTTTTAAAAAAGTCCCTTGTTGCGAAAGTTGATTTAACTTTTGCTTGCAACTAAGTATGTGACAGTTCCATTTTAGTTCATTGAGCTGGAACTGTTCTAACAGTTCATTTCACTGGAGTTGGTCACCGTTTCAGTTCATTTGAGCTGAAAGGGGTGTTCGGTGGATTTTTGTTTATGATACACTCAGTAGTAGTATTTGTTTTGATTTTGGAAGTGATCTGATGCCATATGACGAAGAATTTTGGCGGTTACATTGTGCTATCGTTGTGTTTCACAACTTACACACTGTGATAATCACGTTTTTGACGTTTCATTCCTTTAAAAACGCACGCAAACAGTGCTAATGGACTCGGCATAGTCAAAATCTTTCGTACGGTTATGATAATCACATTCAAAACAGTTCAAATGAGCTGAACTGTAGCTCAAGTTCAACTCAAATGAACTGGTGACCCAGTTCTTCGATTCAGTTCACACGAACTGTTGAGCTCGAACTGTCACACACCTATTTGCAATTTTATCTAGCATTTGTTTTTCTTAGACACTTCAGCTGATTGACTACCTACTAATTTTAGAAGTAAACTCACTCAGATATGAATAGCAACTGTTAAGAAAACTATATCCAATAACACTAAACCTTTTACTTCTTTTATTTTCATAAATATCGCTTCTTTTCAAATTTATCTCAATACCTGTAAAATTGAAAGCATTTTAAAGCTCTTTGACAGAAGGTTGAGTTAAATTTGAATAGAGGCGATATTTATGAAAATAAAAGAAGTAAAAGGTTTAGTTTTATTGGATATATTTTTCTCAACACTTGCTGTTCATATCTAAGTGAGTTTACTTCTAAAATGAGTAGGTTGTCAATCAGCTGAAGTGTCTAAGAAAGACGCATGTTAGACTTTTATCTCATTGGCAAAGATCGTCCAATCAGAAAGGATTAAGACACTTCAATGTTAAAATCGGTTATCCGTTGACGTTAAAGTGTTTAAATTAGACATATACTAACCAATCAGAATTAATTGAAAGTGTCTTGTCTAAACGGCTGAAACGTTTTATACACTCATGTGTCTTAATTATTTAAATTGTCAAATTCAGTGTAGTTTTTTTCGATCGTGGCACGCATCAATGACGATGACACATCGTTTCCTTTTTCGAGTTGGTGTTTCTGCGGGTCACATCAACCGGACAACCTACAGGCCATCTAATGCGCTCCTTGGCCATCACAACATTCTTACCTGCAATCTCATCCAAAATGAATATCGTCGATACAAATCATCCGATGTTACAGGCATATCATTTTCTCCTCTTCCTGATGCAGAACTCAAAATTCAACTCTATTACAAAAAACAAGATATCAAAAAGCGTAAAGAAAAATTAAAAGAGATAGCACAATCCATATGGAATAAGAAACCGAATGTGAATTATGCTCGAATTAATTTGGATGAATGTAAAGCAATGTACGAAGAACATACTGGCCATGTACCTTCTTCATGGGAAGCAAAACAAATTTACAGGTTGGTGAATTTTGTTGTTTTTATCGACTCTCGCTAAAACTGCGAAGGTTTTTCATGAAAAAAGGAAAATTAAGAATTACTTCAATTTTTTCGAAACGCTCATTCATCAGATAGAAATAAAAAAACTAGGATGCTACTTACAGAAGGAAATTTTCTGATATAGTTAGAACAGTTTTTGTTTTACCAAATAAAAATGTAAAAAGTTTAGTAAAATAGAAAAAAACCTTTTTTCAAAACACTTGAAAAATAAACTACTTCAGTCCGCATGAAAGATTAACTCTCGCTTCTTCTACTTTTTCGTAGTGCAACACTGGAACAATATGCACCATGGCGTCATTTTCAAGAAGAAAAAGAAAGACAACAACATGTAACCGCAATGATAGAAGAAATATACAATGATTTGCAGAAAGAAGTGAAGCCAGGAAAAGATTTGACTTTATCGAAAAGTGATATGAATGTTTTACTTGAAAAGAAACTCGGAGAATTGCCTTCATCCATAGACGTTGAAGACATGTGGATGGATCGATTTCGTTTGCCTCTTGTTAAATGGCTTGAACAAAGTAGTTAATTGAAAACTATTACTCTTTTTTTCTACTCTTGTTATTAAACAAGCAATTATTTATATTGCAGAAGAGTTCAATTTTATGCGTAAGAGTTTTTAATTAGAATATTATTTATTTTTGTTTTATGTCAAGATTTCTTCACTTAGTTCATGTAACAGTTAACTACTAATCTTCTGGTCCTAAATTTAGCAGAAATACATTTTACTTAGGGCGTTTTGTCTAGTGATGGTGGATCATGGTAGGTTCTGTGTAGTAATGCTAAACCATACATCTAAACTAATTGATTAACTGTTATAGAAGATCTTCGTTCTTTAGAAGTTAAAGCATTGGATTTATCAGAGAATCAGAAATGTAATTTGATTTAAAACAGCAGATTGGATTACTTCTGCCAAAACTACGCGGTGCCAGCGGCGATGAAGAAGCGCCTTTATTTGATGTATTCAAACAAGTTGATTCATCGCCATTTAACAAACGAAAGTTAGAATTGTGGCTTGGAGATAAAGAAAAGGAGATTTCTCTGATGACGTCATATATTGAACATTTGAAAAGTGATGAAAGTTTAAATATTACAGTTCAATCATCATCACTTGATGATATTATTGGTAATATGAATTACGATTATATATTGTGTCTTTCATTTCGTTTTAATGATGAAAAGGAACCACAACTTATTGATATGTATAACTATCGTCATCATAAAGAAAACTTTAAACCACACGTAGATTCACAAAGACCTACCAAATGGTTTAAAGATCGCCATATTACCGTACTCCGCAAAAGCAGCGAGCCCCCTGTAACTCAAGAACCATGATAGCTAGAGACTTCTAATTTTGTGTGGTCATAGCTCTTACCGAATGCTGATCACCCACCAAGTTTGGACCTCTTTTACTAGATATTTCGTGAAATATAAGCGATTTATGTCTCAAATATCAATAGCTCCTGACCTAAGAGAGATGAAAATTTTTTCTTTTTACTAAAATGTAGCCACGACTCTACTCTATCTACAATATAATCTTTTATGAGTTGGCTGTTAGTGTTGAGTGAAATACAGCTATTTTATGATCAAGATCTCTAGAAATGAGGTTCTGCGATATGAGGTCCTTTCCAAGAAAAATTCATAACTCATTCCAGGAACATCACTTCAACTTCAAACTCACAACAAATACTCTTCGACGGCTGTAGACTATTCAGTCAAAGTATGAAGGTTAACTATTGTGTGGTTCTGGAAATCCATTGAGAATGAGCACCCACTATTGAAACATACGTAGGACAGCGAGGGTGAAGAACTAAGGGTCACTCCTTCTACTATAGAATCTGTATTCAATGTACATCATAATCATGAAAAATAATTATAGAAACCTATGGTTCCGAAAAACGTAGATGAAACTTTTATCAGAAAGATTACACACCCACCTCTGATCTTCGCCATTTCATTTATTTTGCGCCCTTTTCACTTTCCTTATATTTTCAAGCAAAACTAATAACATATTTGAGATCAGCAAACAAAACTGAGCAGAATATCATACTTAACATTTGGTTTTCGAACAAAAACATTTCACTGAAAATTTTCTCTCTAGGTTAATGGTGAGTGTTTAATCATTCTGACAAAAGTTTCACCTACGTTTTTCGGAACCACAGGTTTCTATAATTATTTTTCATGATTATGATGTACATTGAATACAGATTCTATAGTAGAAGGAGTGACCCTTAGTTCTTCACCCTCGCTGTCCTACGTATGTTTCAATAGTGGGTGCTCATTCTCAATGGATTTCCAGAACCACACAATAGTTAACCTTCATACTTTGACTGAATAGTCTACAGCCGTCGAAGAGTATTTGTTGTGAGTTTGAAGTTGAAGTGATGTTCCTGGAATGAGTTATGAATTTTTCTTGGAAAGGACCTCATATCGCAGAACCTCATTTCTAGAGATCTCGATCATAAAATAGCTGTATTTCACTCAACACTAACAGCCAACTCATAAAAGATTAGAAAAGTATGGTCTCGTAGTTCGAAGATGCTACCGTCATTGTTCAAGATGAAAATTTCGAGTTAGTTTCAAAGAATAGAGAAATGTTTTTCTATGTTGTGATGACGTTGGATTTTTCAATTCTGAGTTTAGTTTAGGAGAAATTTAAAAGGTTTCTGAATAATAAATAAAATCTCTCTAACAAGACTCTATTATAGGTTTTCGACCATGCAAAAATAAATGTTGACCATGTCTCTGCATACGCTCACTGGATTCAGCGTAGTCAAAAAACTATACTTCTATCCTTTCTTTGTGAAAAATAGGCTGAATAGCACTTTCACCAGTGCAAGACATGTTGATAACAACTGTTTATTGCAGGAGACGAGCAAAGTTTGCTGGAAAACCTATCTGTAGTATGAATAGAGAAAAGCAGATGTTATAATACTGCACATTTCCTTCACCTAATAGCCGTTACTTGACTTCCTGATATCGTCCTATATCAAGGGGGAGAAAACTGATTTGAATCTCTAAAATCTCTCCAAATCTTTTGAAATCTCTCAGATCTCACCAAATCGCCTTGAATCCCTCCAAATCTTACCAAATCCGTCTAAATCGCTCCAAATCCC